CTACCCTAATCTACCGGAATGTGCCCGTTCTGCCCATGCCATTGCAGACAAGGAGGGGCATATCAGGGAGGGATAACACTACTGAACGGGGGGCCTATCCAGCAGAGGAGAGGGGCTTTACAGTGGTTGAGGGTTTTTTTTGGGGGGGTCAAAAGGGACTTTCTTGGGAAGGAGGGGATTTCTAAATACAGAGGAGCTTTTGCAGAGTTGAAGGAACTTTTCAGGACAGGTGGGGACATCCAGGGTGGGGCAACACTCCTGGACTGGAGGACCTTTAGGGAGGAGAGCCTTTCTTGGGTGTCAGTGCCTTCCAAGGGTTGAGGGGCTTGCCAAGGATGGTGGAGATATCTATGGGAGTCGGGTTCCTCCGAGGGTTGAGGGGCTTGCCAAGGATGGTGGAGATATCTATGGGAGTCGGGTTCCTCTGAGGGTTGAGGGGCTTGCCAAGAATGGTGGAGTTATCTATGGGAGTCGGGTTCTTCCGAGGGTTGAGGGACTTGCCAAGGATGGTGGAGATATCTATGGGAGTCGGGTTCCTCCGAGGGTTGAGGGGCTTGCCAAGGATGGTGGAGATATCTATGGGAGTCGGGTTCCTCCGAGGGTTGAGGGGCTTGCCAGGGGTGAAAATGGCTTTCCAAGGGTGAGTGTGCTTTTTCAGGGGTAGAGGGGCATTCCAAAAGTGGAGGATCAAAAGGCACTTTCTTGGGGACGGCTTTCCAAATGTGGAGAAGCTTTTGCAGAGGTGAAGAAGCTTTCAAGGAGTGGTGGGGACATCTAGGGTAGGGCAGTAATCATTGGCTGGAGGACCTTCAGGGTGGAGGGCCTTTCTCGAAAGTCAGGGCCCTCCAACCCTCCAACGGTCGAGGGGCTTGCAAGGGGTGGTGGGGTTTTGTACGGATGAAAAGCGTCTTTCCAAGGGTGGAGGGGCTTTTTCAGGGGTTCAGGGGCATTCCAGCAGTGAAAGAAAGGGGCTTTCTAGTGATGTCGGGACTTTTATAGGGGTCAAAGGGGCTCTCAAAGGGTGGGGGAGCTTCTGCAAAAAATAAAGGGACTTTCTACAAAAGGTGGGGCCATCCTGGGTAGGATAGCACTCCTGGTCTGGGGTACAGTTAGGAAGGAGGGCCTATACATTAGTAAAGGGGTTCTTCAGGGCCAGACAAGGCCGTCCAAGAGTTGAGGGGCATGCTAGGGGAAAGTGGGGATTCGCATTGATAAATACAATAAAAGTTTCACAACAAAGACTACTTGATTGCTGCACATTGTTAAGTCGAAAACTCCAGGTACTTTAAGCTGCCGAGAGGCCACTTCTGCATGCCTGTGCACTGTTCAGAGTGCGGCTCTATTGAAGGATTAGGACCTGAGAAAAGGCCCCTCGCTGACACACGAATTCACACAGTGAGAGGCGGCCATGTCGGATTAACCCCGGAGCCTTGTGAAGGAGTAAAAGCGGCAGTGTGCGGCAGAGGGATCTACAATTAATTAAGTGTGATTGTATCACAAGACACGGATCTCATCTTCTGATCCCCGCGGGGGCTCCGAGTGAAGAGGATATGGGGGGGGGGGGGGCGGGGAACATGGGTCTCTCCTCCGTGTTC